GTAGTACGTACCGACATTACTACTATCGACGCGTATACAACAACACTAGNTACACGACGTGTCGANATATATATATATATATATATATATATATATATATATATATATATATAAGTAATGACACTACGAGATCCTCCCACACCCATGTGAGTAGGACCCCAAATAATCACCACTAAATTTAGACAGAAATCTTTAGAAAAGTTATCATAGGGATATGAGACTTGGGTGAGTGGGTTTATCGATAACTTTTTTAAAGATATGTGTCAAAATTTAATGGTAATCATTTGGAGTCCCACTCACATGGGTGTGGGGGGTCTCATAGTATCATTACTCTCCCTCTCTTTCTCTCTCTCTCGATATATAATTGGAAAACTTATTATTTACCATTATATCGGTTACAATCACTTATAGCCATTAAAAGTAAAATCTAACGAACAAAAGTGTTTGTGACCTAATTATATTAATAATAAATAGTCTCCTTATATAGTTTTCCAATATACTATTTTTCTAACACTCGATTACAAGATAGTAGGACCAATCCCTAAAATTGATTTATAAAGTGAGGAAATCTAGAGCAAAACCATTCAAACCAGTGTGCGGCACACTATCTTGGATGACTATAATATTCGTTACCTATACCCAACATCTACCTGACATCCCTCGTCCGTCTTTATTCTCGAGTTCAAGATAGTAATTATTACCTCCAAAACTAGAGCTTTGATAAAGTAAGAAACAACTCATCTTGCATCTCTAGGTGTCAACCGTATAGTGTAGAGATAAGATGCACCTAAAAAACCTTGAAAAAGCTATTTATTTTCCAATCGATCATCTTGACTTAGACATATATATTTATGAATATGAAAGAAAAATGAATTTCAAATCTTAAAAATAGTGCATCTTGTAACATATTATTTGGACCGTTTTTTTTTAAGATTTTTGAGTGCTCATAGATTTACACCATTTTCGGAGCTTTCAATTTCATTATAAGGGTAAAAAATAGAATTTTAGGTCATAATAAGAGTTTTGCACTGAAAATATATTTTTTAATGAGATTTTGAGATACATCTTACCGTGATTGTTCAAGGTTTAACACCTTATACAAACCGCACCCTTTTAAAATAGGTAGGGGCTATATTCCCCATTCATCTTTTAAAAAAAAGACAAAAAAAAAAGGAAAAAACAAAGATAAAAGACAAAAAACAAAGAAAAAAGAAAAAAGACAGACAAAAAAAAAAAAAGGAAAAAAAGAAAAAAGAAAAGAAAAAAAGAAGCTCATCTCACGTCTTGTGTGTACGAGTACGGAGGGTATTTGTTCGGTCTAAGTAGCTAGTCATATACTGCATGTATATTTTTCAACAAAATGTAACTATAAGAGGTAAAATGGTGAAGAGAAAATTAAGATAAAGTAAACCTCAAAACACTTTTAGATATACTCACATAAGGGATTTTCTTAAGGAGAAGGTTTTTATAATTCTCCTACTATATATAACTTCTATACTTCCCCTGCCATCCAGCTGTTTAATTTAGATCAAATAAGTCATACTGTTTAATCTAGATCCGATGGCTTAGAGTACGTTATTTTTAGTTTTTATTTTACAAATTATACGAATATGAAATTCGATACGTGCCAACATCTCAATGGGCACACCTACAAACAATATAAAATAAATATTTTTAATAAAATAAAATAACCAAAATACCCCTTCAACTCTCAGGGAACTATATATGTTTTCCAAAACTTGAAGCGAATAAAACAGGAAAAGTAGCACTTCTGAAGTAGGTATTTTTCTTAGTGGAGCAAGTATACAATTTGTTCCTAAGGGAGTATGCTGTATGAAAAGTTTTCTTCCTTGTGTTTTACCTTGATTTTTTTTTCCTTCTTTTTTATTGCCACAATTAGCTTACTTTTTCGTAGTTAAGTGTGACATATCTATTGTTTAGAAAAAAAAAAAGAGTCTCATATCTTTTGTTTTCTTTGTTTCAGGGCTTGGAACTGGTGAATGAAGCATTGTGCCAATACTTTCAACGTCAGTGCAACGATCTCAATAGAAAGTACAACTACGTGATGCATTTAGCTGAGCTCTATGAACCCTATGCATTTTTCAAAGGATGGTATGTCCCTAAATCCTATTTCACTGCTTTCTTGTTTCATCATTTTCATTTAATAGTCTCCTCTTAATTTTTTTTTTTGTGTGTGTGTTTTAAAATTTCATTTGATGGTCTTTTTTATTTTTATTTGAGTACTAATACGTTTAAGAGTTAGATGTTGAAATACAATTCCAATATGAATTCATTTTCCTTAATGAGAATATGAAAGTGAAGCAAAATGCACACCACCCATTGCTCTATAAATGGTTGAATGCTACATGAATGAGACCACAAAGCTTTAAAACACAGGTTACGTCAATAATGAATTTTAACCAGTGTTGGAAAGAGCGACCCGGGCCGGTTGCTTGGCCTGTTCCTGAGCCAAATACCAGGCCCGAGTTGGGCTTAGTTTTGGCAATGGCCAAAAGGTCTTAAAAGTTAAAAAAAATACTTCAAAAATTCAAAAGATAGGAAAATATCTTTAAAGTAAAATTAAAAAAAAATAGTGAAAAATGGATTAAAAAAAAAATGAATTTGTGACCTCGAGCTTTTTTTCAATAATCCGAAAAGAAGGCAAAATATAAATATAAGTATTTGTGGTCAAACACTTTCCAATCTTTGTCAAAATGATAGAAAACATAAAAAAAAAATTATTAACAAATTTCTTTTTTTAAATTTTTTTTTATATCCCTGAGTTGGACACCAACTCAGAGATACTCGGGTGGCGAGCTCCAATTAACAGAACACTAATTACAACCATGTTGATATCTAAGTCATGTGTTTTATTATAATTATTGTTATATTTTAGTATTTCTTATTTTTAACTTTCGATGGACGCAGCTTTGATGACTTGAATACTGAAAAGCTACGATCTGCAGTGCCACCGAATAGTCTTTTGACATTTGATCCAAAGATCATCAATTGGGATGATTATTTCATGACCATACACATGCCTGGCTTGGTTAAATATGTGTTAAAATGATCTCCTCATTTATGGATTCCTTGGGAAGATACATTGTAATTGATTCAACTATTGAGCATTGAAAGTTTCCTATCAGAAGAAATATGAAGGAAAAATTGGACCCTATAATTGATTAGTGAAGCTTGTGCACTTCATTTTTAGGAGTTGGGACAATTGCATAGAATTGAAAAAACAAAGGGTTATTTCTTTTTATGTAATTGTCAATTTATTTCTACCATATATTATTTATATGTGAACAAGGTTTAATTGTTCAATGGGCAGATACTTATAACTAAGTTAATTTTCATTTCGAATATTCCATGTTTCTAAAGCGTTTTCATGGCTTTTCGCCATTACGAGAGACTTCAGTAGGCTTATTTACCTGAAAAAAGGATATGCGATGGGTACATATTAATTAATATAACCGGTTGGGGCAATCTTAGCCCTCCATTTAGAATGAACGGTTGGATAAGAGGAAGATAGAACTTCTATACTGTAGGCGAAGCATAGAAAGATTGCCCGAAAAAAAATGCAAGATCTAATTGGCACCAACTTTAAAAATTTTTAAAAGGGGAAGTTTTCTATGCTTCCCTACAACATAAAACTTATGTACTTCCCCTTATCCAACCGTCCATTCTGAATGGAGGGTTAAGATTGCCCCAATCACAACGTCACATCTCCACACTATTTTTATTTTAATTATTTTTTCTATAAATTATATTGATACCAAATTTTGGACATCTATTCCTCTATTAAACTCGCACTAGAGAAAAATTTAAAAACAATATTTTCAATAAAATAAAATATTCAAAATACCTCTAAAAGATTCAAGGTGTATTTTGGTCATTATATTTTATCGAAAAATTATTTTTAGTATTTTTTATAGATGCGCCCCAATGAGAAGATAGCAC